CTTCTGATGGCGCCGCGCCGCGTGTCCGGCGGTGGCGCGCAGGTCGCACAGGGCCAAGGGAGGGAGCAGGGAAATAAACAACAGTGGACACTTACCACCAGCGTCGACGATGTGCTATTGGAGGGAGTAGATGTTACAGAACAAATGGAGCTAAACGACTTCATCAGGATGTACCTTGGTCCCAAGTTTGTGACCGATGAGGGCCGCGGTGTAAAAATGGGGGTGTTTGCGCGTAGGCCTGCGCGGTACGTCACGGACCCGGAGCTTTGTGACAGCGTACTCAGCGTACCAGCGTACCAGCTTCTGGAGGACGCACGCAAGCTTGCTGAGCACAGGGTGCATTGTCTTCAACACTGGAAAGAATTTGATCACAAGGGGATCGTCTCCAATATTTCATGGGGAAAGCTTGACGGCGCGCTTAAGGTAGTGGAGGAAAACGAAAAGGCAGTACAGGTGGGGCAAGAAAGGGCACGAAGGGAAGAGGAAGAAAAGAAACGGCGGGAAGAAGAAAGGGCAAAACGGATATATGAAATTGCTAGCCAACCGCTGCCGGATGGATTCTACGACTCTGTGTTAAACGCGAAATGCAGTCACGTCTTGGAGTTCTCCGAGGGCGAGGGGGATGCGATGGTGGCGCGAATGGAGGTGCGTGAGGGCCAACCACCAACACAGTTGTGGGATTACACGCGGGATGGCGTAACTCTTTTGCCGGTGGAAGATGCAGAGCAATTTCATGTGCCTCGCCCAAGGCTGATGCTGCTCTCGTCCGAGCATAAGTGGCCTTACTCACTGAGGCAGGGAGAGAACATTGAAGATTGCTACATCAACCGTGAGGTGGATCGTGTGTGGAGGATCGTGCAGGGCGATCTAGAGGGAGAGTTTGGCACCGAAGATCTGGACTTGTTTGACTTGAGGCGGCGTCTCGTGATTGGGACGCCGGGAATAGGGAAATCTATGAGTGTTGGCTCCTACCTCCTTTACAGGTTGCTCCACTACGACGTTAAGAAGCTCCAAGTGGTGGTCTACTGCTTTGGGGGAGACCTGGCATTCGTCTTTGACAAAGAAAAGCAAGCGGTGACAGCACACGAGGGTGTGCTCAATATTACCGGCCTTATGAAATATTTGGTGTGGCAGCGTAAACTGAAAGGGTATGTTATCTACGACGTGGATAAAAAGGGTTATGAACCGTCGTGGGATTACCCGCCCTCTGACACGTGGGGCGTCATTGTGTTGTCCTCACCGAACGAAGATAACTTCAAAGGATGGGCGAAGCAAAAGAAGGCCGAAATGATCATCATGAATTGTCCTGAAGAGCTTGATGTGAAGGCGATGTGTGCTTGGAGGACGCGTGATAAGTCAGCAGCGGAGCAAACAAACTACTGGAAGATGGTCGAAAAACGCATGGGTCAAATCGGACCGATCCCACGACACATTTTTAATGGCAATGCTGCTAGAACTCGCGTGTATCAGGTTGAGCGTGTCTTGGGTTTGATCAACGCTTCTAATGCGGATAATTACATTTCAGTTGGAGAAAAGGAAATGGTGCCTGCGAATGACGCGTCTCATAAGCTGGTGAAAACTGCCCGAATGTGTAGACCTGGCGGGGTCGAAGGTTTTGCGAATCTGCCGGTTTGTTCAGATATCGGGGACCAAGTACTCATAAAGCTGACAGAAGTAGGCAAGCAGAGGGATTTTTTGTATCAATTATGGAGGTTTAGGGATTTCTTTTTGCCCGAATTTCTGGAAAAGTATGGTGTGCACGCATTCACGATTAGAGGCTTTGTGGAGAATGTAAAAGAGAGACTTAAAGAACTGAAGCCACCAACAAATCGCCCGGGACGTCCATGTGTGCTGCAATCAAACCCTGAAACGCATCCAAGCAGGACAGTTCCATTGACGCTACTGGAAGACAAGCCCTCAAGGCTTAAATTGCAGTGTGGGGTGTTGTACTTGCCAAAGGCGAGAAGCTTTCCGCTGATAGACGGCTTTTTCTTCGTGGACACACCGCGGAAGACGATGGTTGGGCTGCAGACGACTGTGAGGGGTGCGCATCACACCAAACCCAGCAAAGTGAAGCTGTTCATGGAGCGTATGACAAAGCATTTTAATGACTGGGAAACGTTTGCCGCAGACTTGTCGTGGGAGATTATTTACGTGCAGCATCGAGAGAGTGAGCGAATAAAGACGTGGCAGAAATGCGAGAATTCCACGAATGCGGGCAACAAGAAAGATGCGACACAGAGAACAAAGGTAGAGGAAAGAGAAACGAAAGCGAAAAGGAAGAAAGAGAAAGAGGACAAGGAGATTGCAGACTGCTGGAAAGAAAAGGTGTATCAGTACCAGGTGGCGATATCGGCAGAAGATGTCGGACCTGAAAACAATGCCCAACGTCGGCAACAGCTAGCG